CTGTCGTTTCGAAATTTCATACAATTCACAACTGGAAAATTGCAATTCATATTACGTGCAGTGCACTTGATGTTTGAACTTAAAGTCGCATATACACATAAATGTATATACTCTATATGGTGGGTATCTTCATCTCATAGAGAGTTCACTTGTGTATCACAAAATTTTAAAGTGTTGAAGGACATATACATATGGGCATTCACTTAAAGTGTGAGCATTCACATGCTTATCTGCAGCTTGAGAGCATTTCTAGTGTACAATTTGTTATATGAATCCCTAAAGGCTTAGACGATATTAACTGCTCAGACAGTGTGGTATGAAAAGTGTGAAATTTCTCAAGACAGAATGTAACTTTATATTTATTATAGTCAGCTTGTAGTTCATACCAACTTTTTTCATAAATTTTACTGATGGGCTCTTCATATATTAATTTTAAATATAAAATTAGTTTAAGACCACCTATATGTATAATGAAAATTTTTAGTGAAAAAATGAAAAAGTAGTATACATTGATTACGTAAGGTTGTTGTAAATCGCCGTAGACCATGCATAGACCTATTAGTCCCTAGCTATATTATATAGAATTAAATCTAAGCGTAAATGTTGTAGTAAACATTTTTGTGAATTGAAGTAGTGCATCAGAGGCACTCCAACGAACGTTTTTTGGTTAAAAAGTTGTTTGATTCGGTATCCGCTAGGTCGCATCTTCGGTGGAAGGGCCAGGTAACCAATGATATAAATCAATAATATGTGCACTCGGATATGGGCGATATGTAGCTCTGCTCGTGGCAACAAACCGCTGATCGCATTGTTTGTAGCAGACTATTGGCCGCGCACAAAGACGACTCACGTCTATAACGGCCAACTACACAAAAAATACACACAATGAGTTCTGAAGATCTATATCTGAGACAGAGACGATTAGTATTTTTTTAAGATTTTTGAAACCATGTTTTTAGGACGATCAACTAGTAGTACACATAACTTAAGAGTAGTTTGGTTTTTCAGCTGTTTTAATTTATACCAAAAAACCACCATCAATAGTTTTAATTTGAGAGTATGTTATGTGGAATGGGATCGTTATAGATCCTTGGTTGCATTGATTATATTGTGCCCCAAAACTATAGTTATTTTTATTCTTTTTGGAGGTTTTAACGGTTTTAGGTTATTTTGTAATGTTGAATTCAAATTTCGCAACTCATCTTTTTCTACATACGCCTGTCACAGATAATAACAGTTTCAAGTTCAAACATTGTAATTTTAAAGAAATATGGGTGTCGTGTTTTTAGTAAACCTGCCAAGAATAAATTAATAAAAATGTTTGGTTTAGGCATCCTTGAAAAAAGCACAGAATCTAATAAAAATTGTAACTCTAAGTTCATACAAATCCGTAATCAAGGATTAAGGCAAAAGAACGTCCCACGAACCCCCCAAAAAATTAGGCTAGTGTTATTTTACACATGTTTAGCTCCCAAAACCAGAATTCAAATCCAGCTTTACAGTTTCTTTCATTCTTTACAAGTTCTGACAACTTCGGCAGATGGTGACTTTTTGAATTATATGTAATCGCACATAAAACCTTGGATTATCCGACTATGAACTAAAGGCAGTTAAGATTTTTGTGCATAATTTTGCGAGATATAAAAAAATACATCGTATTTATTACTGGTTTTTATCAATAATTTCAATAAAATTCCTAATATAGAAATTTTATTTCTTAAGTTTAAAAGGCTATACAAAGCTATTTTTATACAGCAATTTTTTTTAAGTTTCTTTCACGGAAATACATTTGTGATCTGTATTCTTAGTAATGCCGATTTCGGGTTAGCGAACTTTAAGATGCAATGACAAAATTTATTTTCTTTTTAAGTGTCACTTAGTATCTGTAGTGGACCTCTTTGTTGTCGATAACGATTAATTTTATTTCCTTATTTTAGTCGACACTAAATAAGTGAAAAACAATCAATTATTATTTTCATCTACGTGCAATTACTATCTTATATAGTAACTATATAGACTTATAGAGGTATATAACCGAAGTCATATTCAACTAAATGTTAAAGTAGTTGCGTTTTTTCCGATGTGTTGGTCAAATTTTTTTTCATTAAATACTTATTTTTTATGGTTGAACTTGTCAGTGCAGTAGCTAATTAATGAACGTCAACCAAGCTGAATGATCAGATGCTATCTTATATGTATAGGTTTTAAAGTAGTATAGTTTTAAACTCTAAAGATGCCAGCTAATCTGCTTACCGTTGCTTAGAAGCTGGGTCTTATCATATCTAGATGTTGAATAAAGTTTTACCGCTGCGTACGTTTTCACTAAATCCATATTGATCGAAACTGATAAGACTATGTACAAGATAGCAAAAAAAATATGGTAGTAAGTGTAGTGTATTTCTCGAAAATTCTAAATTAGCGTCCTGGTTTGGAAAGTAATTACTAAATAGAACTTTGTTTTAATTTTTTGATTGCAATTATTTCTCAATTTAAAATTTATACAGAGTCCAGATCAAAATAATATAAACTCCTTTATATTGTTTTGAGTTACTGTATTTTATTACGAAAGTCGGATTGGGTTTAATTAAATAAAAATTTAAAAGAAAAAATTAAAGAAGTTAAGTTATATTAATTAAAAGAAATTTATCGGTACTAATTAAAATTTGAAAGAGATCGATAACTTTTGATAAATATTGAGTAATAATACTTAACCAATCATTTCGCCCACAACTTTGTCAATCCTTTTTGGAAGAATCTGATACCCGAAAGGTTTACCTGTCCTTCAAACTGTGTAACAGAATTCTTAAGCGTGTACTTGTCTTTCCTTAACTGGTTCGTTTTTTTAAGATATGTAATACCTCCAAATAGTTTAATTAAAGAGAAGAGGTTGTTGTTGCTATATATATAGTGGATATTACTATGACTGGAATTTATAAACCACCTTTGGACAGTGCATTAGTTCTGCCCTTGCTAGAAGTATCTCTATTATTTATTTTTGACTAGCCTATGAGTGTACTATCAGCTTGTTCAAGCAACATTGCGTAATGATTGCTTTGATTAGGGTTGCACTGACTGCTCTTGAGTGTCTATCACTCAAGCTCCCAAAACCACTTAGCTGGCACTAAGAAAGCAAATATTTATATTAAATTAAATTATTATTATTATAATTAATTTTATATGTGAAATTTAAAATTTATGCAAAATTTTCACTTAAAGTTCTAATAAAAAAAATTCTCATTATTATGCATTCCACAAGAAAGAAAGACAGCAATCTACATAAACTTTCTTCTTTATATTTACAGTATATAGAGAAATTTTAATTTCGAAAATATCTATTAAGATATTTTGAAAATCCATCTCTAAAATATAGGTACTTTAGAGTAATATGAATTAGCCACTAATGCGTCAAAAACTTAAGTTGAAGACGTTTCTCAATGAAAGATCTTGTAGGTGTGTGCTATTTAGATCCTCTAGAGAGTACGTACCTAATATATTTAATATGTATGTGCTGGACACTAAGAAAGTGTGAAAGTAGATGTAAAGTACTTCTTTCGTAGTCTCAGAACTGCAGTAAAAGTCACAATAAGCGTATTCATTCATATTGATTGGTTCTCTTATCGAAATTTGCTTAGCAGAATATATAATCTTTATAATACTTTATATTTTTTTTATCCTATTTCAGGTCGACTAGACTAGACACTTTTCTGTGTCTCTTCGCTTAGCTTCAGTATTACATGTTGCTTTTAATTCTATTTTTCAAAGCTTCTTCATCTTGATGAGTTCGTTAACTATTTTTATATTTTACAGTAGCCTTATTCCGTATGATTTCTGCGTATCTTTCCAACTTCCTTTATTATAACAAAAAAGAGATATAGTAGATACATTTAGATAATACTTTACGGAATATGAATCCGTTAAGTGTTTGAAGAGAGAGAAACCAAAAATAATGCAATATATTGTTCTCTAAACTAGTAGCACCGTTTTGGTCGAACCTAAACATTTTGCGAAAATAAGTTGTTTAGTGTTTATGAAAATACTTTTAAGAGATAGCCAAAATTTGTCAATCTCAGAAGTAGTTATACGAAATATTGTTGTGCTAAGTTTTTTCGTTAATATTAATATACTATAAGTTTAAATAATAATTGATTTTAAGAAAATACACATTTAATTTCATCAATTTCAATAACATTAAGTTTAAGAAAACATGCTTTTCTCACAAACTTTGTATACCCAACCGTATCCTAAGCATTTTACAAAGAACCTACTAAAGTACTACTAAACTCTTCTCAATTTTTAAATGTATGAATGCCAAGCTTCTTACAGAAGGCACATAAGTAAACTGAATTCTTTAACAATAACACAAATCCAATTTTAATAATCCTTATTCCATAAGGGAGTTGTATCAAGTTTGTCATGGCCATCATACCTAATATAAAAATGGTTTCAAGTTTCATGTGAAACTTGGTATCCATAGAAAATCCATTACATTCTTATGTTTGCATTTTAGAAAAAAAAAAATAAAACTTAAATTTTTTATTTGCAAACATTGACATCCATGCTCGCAATCCATACGTTGGGTTCCGAAATCGCTTCCTTTCAAAGAGTCAAACACCTCTACTCTGCAGTAACCTTAAAAGTGTTAAATTGTGTTGCGGTACTGTGTGGTTAATCCAATTTGTGCTACATACAAATAGAAATACAAGTGAAAGAAGAAGTAGCTTTAAAACATACCCCGTTCCACGAAGAAAGCAGAGCACGCCAACTGAAAAGCAAACACTCAAAGATACGAAAATATTTGCTTTTTAATCCCCGTTCGGCGACTGGTTAAGCAAATATTGAAGCAAATTGAAGCGTTTGTAGTGGAATTAAAATAAATAGTTTATTTGGGGATTAGGGGAGTTAGCAGAGGTTGTTACACCTGCTAGTATTTGTTTTTCTTCTGGCATTAAATAAATCGAATTTTTATATTCTAATCCAATTATTTCTTACTTTATAGCTTTGCGATGTTACATTGGAAGTTAATGGAGCTACTCTGCATGCCCACAAAGTCGTGCTCGCTTCGGTTTCACCGTATTTTTATGCAATGTTCAATGGTAAATGGAATTAAACACTTTGATTATTTGTTTGTACGTTTATATTTATAAATAAATTGTACTTTATTTTCTCGTGGTCACTTCACTTCCTACATGGCAGATGATATGCTAGAACGTACCCAAGGAATCGTTCGTTTACATGATGTCGATGTGATTGCGCTACGTCTGCTCATCGATTATTCATACACGGGTGAAATAACAATTACCGAGGAAAACGTTCAAGTGTTGCTTCCTGCCTCTGGTTTGCTGCAGATACACTCGGTGCGTGAAGCTTGTTGCAAGTTTTTGCTCAGACAATTGCATCCTTCCAACTGTTTGGGCATACGAAGTTTTGCTGGTAAGTCATTTTTCTTGATTTTTGAAATCAGTATATATGCTATGTTGTGAATTAATTTATTTAATTTTCAAACTAAATTAAATAGTTTCTCACGAGAAGTTGATTAGTTAAACTATAAAAAACTTACTTATATCAAATTAATTAAATAGTTAAATGAATTTATGAAAGTTAGATTTCTTTTTCTTAAATACATTTTATAAATGTCCAAAACAGGCTGAATAAAGACTACTCGTTATCAAGTTTGGTATGTAAATTAGTACGATTATGACCCTACTCAAAAAGGCTACAAAGCCTTTTTAATTTAATATTCCTCGTAAATTTAAAGTGTTTCATAACTAGCTGAATGGATTTTTGTTTGCGAGTACTTTACTAATCTCCCGATAGGACATGCAGAACTATCTGAACTAACTGAGCTAAAGTTTAGCTTATCCACAAACTTTAATTTGGAGCAAAATAACCCTGAACTATGTCACAACAGATGTCAGCTGTCTCATTTTTGGACACTAGTGAACATGATAAACAAAAGTTACTATTCCGGAAACTGATTTTATTTTAGAAACTTATACCTTTATTCAATGGATCAAATCAAAAGAATTGATTTGATAGACATGATTCACATAGACTTGAAGAATGTGAATCATGTCGCCTTTGACCTATAGCTGTGGTAAGATTTGACAAATTTCTATTCGTCTGTCGCAAAAAGCGACCGGTAATCATTTGTATACTGTAAATGGCAGTACAAGGGAACTTTTATCCAGACGACTCTTTATATCAAATGCACAGTCGTCACTATTTTGGGTTAATCTCACAATACCTATGAACTCTATTACTTTGTTCTCATGGACAAGTTATAGTTATGATATCAAATAAAAATAGTATAGCTTTATGTTTAAGTTGTATATACAATTTTATATTTTCATTATCGTTTCAAAATTGGTCTCTGATAATATATATATTCATTATAAAATGGATTTTCTTCCGTGTTATATTTTTTGATTCAATGAAATCTAACTTAAAAAAAATCTTCCATTATATGCACCTCAGATGATGGGAGTTAATTAATGTTCATTAACTGCTCAACCATCTTAAATTGTAGCTGTTGTATATGTGTTTGTTTTTTTCAATGTTCTTATTTTTTCACTCAAAAATTTGTATTTGTGCCTTTCTTCTCACTCGCATTATAACAGCAATATCCCTACGTTTTATTAACCTAGAGTAGTAGGCTATTGTATTCCATACAATTGGACCACAATGAAAGTAGTCAGAATATCTTTGTCGACTTTAATTTTACTAAATTTCGTTTATATTTTTAAATAATTTATAACAATTACATAATTACAGATGCACATTCTTGCGAGGAACTCCATACAAGATCCCACAAATATGCGCTACAAAATTTTCAACAAGTTGTTGGTACTGAAGAATTTCTTCTGCTGCCCTTTGAAGAGGTATTATATAGTAAAAACATTGATTCTTATTCACTTTTTCTCCCGCTTAGGTCAAAGATTTGATATCAAATAATCAATTGAATATTTGTTCGGAAGAGAAAGTATTCTTAGCAGTTCTTAATTGGATCAAGCATGATTTGGGGAAACGGCAAAACCACATTGCAGAACTCATGAGCCACGTACGTTTACCGCTTGTAAGTCGCGATTTTCTGATGACTTGCGTAGAGACTGAAACACTTATACGCGAAGACTCACAGTGCAAAGAACTATTACTCGAAGCTATGAAATATCATTTGTTGCCCGAGCAACGTAGTCTGATGAGTAGTCAACGTACTCAGGAGCGAAGACCAGAGGGCATGAAACCATATGTATTTGCCGTAGGCGGTGGCAGTCTATTTGCTATACATAATGAATGCGAAGTTTACAATCCACGTACCAATTCTTGGACACAGATCGCACCGATGCTTTGGCGACGTTCGCGTTCCGGTGTTACGTCGCTACACAAACAACTTTATGTTGTTGGTGGCTATGATGGTGTAAGCGATTTGTCAACTGCCGAATTCTATAATCCTCTTATAAATAAATGGACCAATATAACACCGATGGGTACTAAACGTTCTTGTCTCGGTATTTGTGCTTATGATGGATTACTTTATGTATGTGGTGGTTATGACGGAGCATCTTGTCTCAGCAGTATGGAGCGTTATGATCCATTAACTGGCATCTGGAGCTCCTGTCCAGCTATGAGCACACGTAGACGTTATTGTCGCTTGGCAGTGTTGGAAAATTGCATTTATTCCCTTGGCGGTTTTGATTCCACGAATTATCAATCTAGTGTAGAACGTTTTGATCCACGTATTGGTCGTTGGTGTCCGGTACCTAGCATGACAGCACGAAGAAGTAGTTGCGGAGTTACGTCAAACGATGGTTATTTGTACTGTGTTGGCGGTAATGATGGTACAATGTGTATGTCAAGCGGCGAACGTTTCAATTTAAGACGCAACTCTTGGGAACCAATAGCGGCCATGCATTCCAGAAGGTAAGAAGATATTAATTAATTAATTGTTTTTATTTACACTTGACGAATATTTGTTCTAGGTCCACTCATGAAGTAGTCGAAGTTGATGGCTCTTTGTATGCTTTAGGTGGTAATGATGGCTCCTCTTCTCTAAACTCTGTAGAAAGATATGATACTCGCCTTAATAAATGGACAATTGTTAGTTCGATGGTTGCGCGTCGTAGTTCTGTTGGTGCTGCCGTATTAGAATGTTTCTATTTGGAACGTGGTCTTGTGCAGACAACGAATTTATGACCTTTGTCCACAATAGCAGAGACGTTTGCTGCAGCAGCAGTGGCAGCTGCAGTGGTTGGCGGTAGCAACAGTAGCGGATCATCATCAAATAATGCGAATTCAACATTAACTTCTGCAACTTCGTCAGCGGCTTCAAATAATTTAGTAGTGCCTGGAAGAGCTGTAAGTGGTCGTAGTATATTAGCCAATGACGTTGCCGGCTTGCTAGTAGGTAATAGTGGCTTAAATGCTTCGGTTTCATTAAGCACTTCAGCGCCATCCACCTCAACATTACGTCGCAATCGAGAACGCGATAATGTGAGTAGTGAAAATAATCGCGGAAGTAACAATCCTTCAGTAGTAAGTGCAAACGTTAGCACAAATAAACCTCCTTCGACCGCTTGATGTTTCTTTCTCAAGTATAATAATTAAATTCTAGTCAGCTAAGCTGCGGCTACAGCATTTACTAATCCAGCTGACGAAGGTTAATATATTATTTTAATTAAGAGATGATCGTGCACATACTCTACGCTACCGAATTTACTGCCCTTAGTTGTAAGCGCAAAATTAAGGAATTACAATTTAAACTTCAAAGGACACCTTTTATCTATGGACGCATATAGTATTTAGGGAAAAATCGTTCTTAAATCGCATTCAACTACTTTAACGTTTATATTATATAAGACCCACAAACAAATTTACACTTATCGTTCTTATAAGCATTACCCACTATCCTTAAGAACTATTTTTACGTAACCATAAAGGATATCTTTAGAGGATAAATCCCTTTTTTTCTATTAATATTGTATGAATGTCGTGTTTGCAAATTTATGAGATCGTTCAGACGAATATATTATATTTACTTAGCTAAACCCAACACAATTAAGTATTATTCATAACGATATTATATAGCCCACGTATAATTAAATTACTAAATAAATTTATGCAATTTTAATTAATTAAACTAATTGTTTTAATATAAAGAAATATTTAATGAAGAGGTAAATATATAAATGTTTTTATAAAATTTTGTATTACTATATTTATAATGCTGTCTTGTGATTTATAAGCAATTCGCATCTTTGCTTGAGAAGACTTGCAAACAGAACGACTGGGTCTACGTATCGGAACTACATGTCGCCAGCAACGACCAAGGAACTTCACAAGCGGGCCCAGCGGATTACAACAACAGCAAACAGAATACAATTGCAATTAAGAAATTGGGATATAGTTAAGCATGCATATTAAGTTTTAAGATCTTTACCTTTATTGTATTAGTAATCTATCACCGCAGGAAGAAAACAGAAAAAAACAGTACTAAGGTATTAAGTAGTCATTGAGATAGAGATGAATATGAAAATTTCTTATGATTACCTTATCTCTTCAGTAGGATAGATCTTACCAGGACAAAAAATGAAAATAACCGGCTGAACACACATCCCAACTTAGGTCACGGTATCTTGAATGGTAGCTAAATGTTTCCCATTGAGAATTTTTTAATATCAAACCAGAATTGTATATATATGTCTATTTCCACAGACATATTCATGTTTCAATGGTTACATAGACTATGCAAACTGGTTGTATAACTTGTCAATAGTCTTAGACTGCTCTACTGAGTAAGAACGCTTTACTGTTGTAAAAATAAACGGGTATTTCAACTAGGCGGCTACCTGGAGCCGCACTTCTTCAACGACTTATTTTCTTTAAAATATACTTTTTTATCAGACCAATATATTATATAGTACAATAAAGCTACGGTCTACAAAATTGAATGCCTGATCTAATCGTTCAAGCATTCAAACATCCAAGTTGTTTTATCTCTGCTTAATATTTAATATAGCATGTCAAAATAATCCGTCAGTTATATATAATAAAGTTTAATTTTGAATTCAAAATATTATATATCCACTACAGGTCAATTCGGTTATGATTTGTCTTATGAAGATAATATTAATTGTATTTTTACCCAAAAGTAGAGATAAACTGGAATCAAAACATTTTTTGCACTTCCACTTCATCTTATTTCCTACATATCGTATAGTAGATATGATTTTTCGGTTCTTTACCTAAAACGAGACTTGATCGTATGTATTGATCAGACTTCGGACATATGCTTAATGCAATACTTCTTATTTTTCTAACATTTGAGTTTTTTATAAAAGCCCTACAAAACCTTATTTTTGTATGGTCTATGCTTTCCTGATGTCTGAAGATGTGTATGGTCTATGCTTTCCTGATGTCTGAAGATGTGTTCCGTTATAAGATATATAAATTTGTCATAAACAACAACCCTCTTAATGCTTAGTTCTTTAATTTTGCATAGGAAATGATTTTAATTTTTGAGATAGTTTTTTAATGTATAATATAATAGGTCATAAATAATGATCCTCTCTGGACTCACGTTAACCCATTAATGACAGATATTGATTGATTTTGTTAAAAAAAAAAACTATAGATGGATCATGTTACGCTGTTGACATAGATAAGAAAGTGTTATATTTTAGAGAAATAATATCACTCAGACGAACATTTGTTTATTGTAAAATCAGTATTTATCTATTAACTTGCAAAAAACGGATATTCTTCTAGATTTTCCAATACTTTGAATGCAGAGCAAAACACCTAAATTTACTTTAATCGTAAAAAAACATACCTTTTGTTGCTCGTTTTTAAAGGAAAAAATTTAAGGGAGCTTGTTTAAAGGAACTCAATTTTTGAAATATAAAAACCACCCTAATGCCCAATCTGGAACCAGTGGCGTAACTACAGGGAAGCGACTAGAAGCAACGCTTTAGGGCCCCCGAATTTAGGGGGGCCCATTATAAATTAATGTATTCATTGTATTTATTTTTAATAAATTCGCAAAAGTGGGACGAAACGTTTTTTGTTGGAATAACTCCATATTGCACCTACTCCATATTGCATTTTATAAAAGATACTTAAATTTTAAATTTAAAGTATATAATATATATGTACTTCAAATAAAATGTTAAACCTATTTATAAAATAAAAAAGTTTTTCTAAGAAAAATATGTGTCTGAATCGAGAGTTTATATGGAAGCTGTATCTAGATTTAAACCCATTTTAATATAATTTTGTACGTTGTTTTATGCAAATAACAGTACAGTATATACCAAAATCATTCGAATACCTTTATTAAAAACGGAGAAACTTTATATCCGATTGTTAAGTTTATATGGCTGCCATAAGAAATAGTAGTCCAATTTCAATTAAATCAAAGGGTGAACAGAGTTCGCTTCCGAAAAGTATGTGTGTAAAGTTTCATTCGAAGATTTCAAAAGCTGAGAAAGTAGTTTAAACTGAAAAAGTACATATATACTATACTGATATATATGGTATTTATGGTATTTCCGACGTTTCTTTTAATGTGTTACGAATATTTCGCCAAACCTTATATACCCTTTTTACTCTTTTTCGTGTAAAGGGTATAAAAAGATGTTAGTATGGGCCCCTTAGTTAGAATTTGCTTATAGGCCTAAAAAATGTAGTTACACCACTGTCTGGAACCCTTTATAAACTCATCATCATCTTATTTTTACCCTAATAATATGGTATGTGTCAAATGATCGGCAGTTGACCATCTTAAATGGCAAGTAAGTTTCATGGTGTAGACCCTCCACTTCTGGACTTAGACTTTAAATTATATTTGCTTTATTTCCAATCTAAAAAACCCATAATAGTTATTTTAGTAGATTTTATTTGATTTTTTATACTAAGTATAAAATTTGTACTTTCTTGCTTAGAAAATTAATTAACTTCATTTAATTGTTGTAAATATTGCAACAATTTTTAATATTTTTTTAATAAATCTAAATTTATGACGTCATTGTAGTAAAAAAATAACATTTTTAACATTTAAATATTAAAGCTGTGATTATAATTTAATTATGTTATTTAGACCATTCGATTTGCTTGAGTGTGTGCTACGTTGCCCACTGATACGCCGGAGGAATTCTGAGAAGCTTTCTTGCCAGTGACTGGATTGTCATACCAATCCGTGCGAACTGCAAAATTGAAGTTGTTAACAACAATTAGCAAAATAAGTTTAATAATTTTAAATAAACTAACTTTTTGCTAATTTTTCACAATTTTGCATGAGAATGGAATGGGGATATAATGAATGAAATTAAATTAATTAAAATTAATTAAAACACAATTTGTTCTTTAGTTTATATATAATAATATAATAACATTTTACAATGTCCTTTAATTACAAATTCATTGCTTTAAGTCTATTTTCACTTTATTGTTCGTAATTGCTTGTTTGGAACAAGTTTTGCTTATTTAGCAATTTTAAATGCAAAAATTTTGAAATATAATGTAAATCTTACAAATTTAAACATTCCAATCTACTTAAGGAACTCGTGAAAAATTAACAAAAAGCATAACATAGATAAGAATTCTACAAATTTATATAAAAATGAAATTTCCATTAAAGATTTCAATTTTAATTTAAAATATTTTATATACTACGAAATGGAAGAAATCAAATAAGTAATTCCAACTTAAAACTATTTTTCTTTCAATTCAATTTTAAGAATTTCAATATATATGTTTTTAAAAAAATAAAAAATTAACAAAAAAGTTAATAAAAAATATATGAGCGCAAAGCTGAGTAAAGAAATTTCAATGAAAATAAAAATATAACAGAATAAAATGAACTTCCAACATAATTGATATTTAACAATATTTCAAAAATTATATTACTTAAAAGTTATTAGATATTTTGGAGACTTATCCTTAAATCCAAACAGAATAAATTACTGTGCCAGTACTGTTGGAAGTTAATATAAGAAAAATTTAACATTATTCTCCTACAGTACAAATCCAACATAAATCATTGAATGTAAATGTTTAATGATATTAACTTTTTTGTTAATTGTTTTGTAAATATTTATCAAAATTTAATTATTTACTTTTGTAAACTTTTTCAGTCATGTCATCGAAGCCAGAGTCCTGGATGTTCAACATCAAGCTATCAGCTGATAGGTAGACCTTGTTTTGTGAGCTTGCAATCTGTAATATTAAAATGTTAAATTGGTTTTGCATACAAGAGTTTTTAATACTAAATAAATTTTATTAACTTACAGTTCTAGCTATACTTTGTGCGGCACGCAACTTTCTGAGTTTCAAATAAGCTGGATTTTCCTTGACAGCCAGACCTAAGTAAACATAACAGTTAAGGAAAACATATGCTAAAAATTTTGTAATCGATGAAAAAAGTTATTAATAATATAAATTTTTAAAAATCCAATAAAAGGGTTTAAAGTGGATATTGAAACATTTGATGTAGGAAGAAATTGTAAAGTTAATGGACAGCTACGAATCAACAATGATATTATGCACTTTATGCCAACAATTCCTGTCACGGCTGCAATTGCAATGATAAAACAAGTGTGCCCAAACAAAAGGGGTTTTGGAATAATTCGCCACTTAAGAGATCTATTCTTCTTGTTCTAAGAGGTGTTCTCTTCTCATGACACTGCATTAGGGCGTAAACGTTTTGGGAGGAAGTTTCTATTGTCACTATGCTGATTAGATACTTGCTTATACCTAGAACTTTGTATGAATAAAAATAAATGTTAAAAACGTAGAGTTTAATGGTGGCCCAAAAACCACATTACTACTTAAGAAACTGTCTGTTTGATGGGGATGCCCGTTAGGGTAGTTCTTAGCGTAAGGTCTTTATAATCACAAAGTTCAAATATAAAGGTAAACTTTTACTGTTAAAATTATATAAAGGTTCACTGTTGATTAATGTGTTTTGGACAGATATGAATTATATGTATTAATATAATATGTAATATAATTTTTAACAAAATTCTTTTCCATCCCAAACTTATATAACACTTTTTATTGCAACATAGCATTTTTATGATTTGTATACTATAAATTAAAAGACCTGTAGTCTC